GCCTTGCCTGGCTATTTACTTACAAGTTTGAAATAGGAGAGACTTGTTTAGAAAGATGTGGAGAACCTGGATTCATGTCTGGTCCCTCTCAGTCCCGAGAACGAACACACTCCCAAACAAGGAACACAAACAAAAGCCTTCCCCCCCCAAGATTTGAAAGTATCTTGTCCCCTTATTGGTCCTTTAGGTCAGATGCCAGCCAGGTTACCTGAGCTTCTTAACCCTTTACAGGGAAAAGGATTTTGGAGTCTCTGGCCAGGAGGGATTTTATAGTACTGTACACAGGACAGCTATTACCCTTCCCTTTATAGTTATGACAGAGGCGCATCTCCTTTTGTTAGCAGTTGTCTAACCTAAGCTCCATGTAAGAAGACTCTATCTTGGTTTTACCATAATCACCCCCAAGGAAGTAAATATTTCTTTGTTTAGCATCTTTCAGTAGAAAGGGTAACTTGAAGAGATTTACAAGATGTTTCCGAGACATTAAGTAATGTAAAATGAGGAAAAGTGAAAAAGCCAGAAGCTAAATTAAGCAAAGTGACAGGAAAGAGCTGAAGATGAGCCCCAGTGTCATGTCTTGCATTAGCAGACTTCTGACTCCAGTGTAAAACAAAACACATCTGAAAAATACGTAACATACTATGGACTCCGCAAATCAGCAGTCTCAAATATATGTTTTTGAAGAGACTGCTCATGTGAGTAAAGCCACTCAAGCATAACTGTTTGCAGGACCAGATCCTAAAAAATGGAATGCACTCAATAATTTTACTGCTTAGACTTGTGATTTTGCTTAATTTTTATTTGGCTACAAAAATTATATTTACTTTTGAGTACTTCTGTACCCAAATAGTAGACAATGAAAAGTGACATGAAACATGAACTGCAGTTCCTTCAATAAAGTGGAGAGACTCAGCAAATAAGAGTTGTATACAAAATGAAGATCACATTTATTCTGCTATGAAAATGTGACGAAGGATAAACACACTATGTATTTTATTTCACTCTGCCTGTCCACAAGATATACAAGATAAGAATTAATTAAATAAAAGGTGTTTTACTCCTTAATCCATTCATTGTCTATTAACAAAGGAATACGACTTAGTCCTCAGACCAATACTAAGAGCTGTAATTCTCAAATTACAGAATATTTCAGATGAGAACTGAAGTTCACATATGTAAACTATTTGCAAAGGTGCCTTAAATTCTTAAGATTAAGCTTTTACCTTTCTTTAATGAATGTAATGCTGATGTGAAGAACGTCAAATAACCAGGAGGCTGAGGTGAAGCATTGAACTCAAAATATCCTAGAACTCCAGGCTGCAAGAATAAGAATTAGAGTTAGCTAAGCTATTACAAAAGTACACATTTATGGGATACTTTAACTATAGTAAAAAACATAACAGATTAAACATTGATGGGTTGTTTTGTTTTTTGTTTTTTGTTTGTTTTTTAGAAAAAACTAACTAGCCATTTTACTCTGCAGGAAAAGTGGATCTTAAAAGGAGGGGAAAAAAACAGCCAATATTATCATTTGGAAAATGTGCACAAGACCAAATCTGTATATATGTAGAAACATTATAATTTCACAGTTACATATTTCCCGTGTTAGTTGTTACATTATTCTCTAAGCAAATGGTAATAATTTAAAATAATTGCAGGAGTCAAGCTTCAGCACCACCATGTTGATGGAATCTTGATTTTCTACATAGCACCATACTGGGTTCTTTTGAAATTGAGATTTGGGATTTAATGTGTCATCGTACAATGAAGTCAACTGTAACCCTTTTTCAACGTAAAATACTTGGCTTTCTTTAAGTTTTTATTATACTGTGCATGATTCACATCTATATATGAAGCCTCTGCATGACTGCCAGTCTACATCACACTGGGAAGCTATCAGTCATATGAGATTCTTGCAAGAGAAATCACTGAGAGACTGATTTCACAAAAACAAAGGGGAGAAGCCCAGATCCTATTTGCATTTCCACAAAAAGAAAATATTTTTTTTGTTGGCCTGGGCAACCAGGTAATTTGAGATTTAAAGGATCTGTGATCTCTAGAAAGAGATACAAAATTTTTGTCCATCGAGACTGGGTTGAGGGAGGGGAGAATACTGGTCAAAATAGACAGAAACTACAGATCTCATTCCCTTTGCTGGAGATATGAAGCTTAAATGATAGCCTAATAAAAATAGATTAAGAACAGGTGTGCAAGAAGTAAGCTCAGATTTCTCTGGTTTCTGCCATCCAAAATTAAAGATAAACCCTGAATTTTACTGAGATGGATATACAATTATTTTAAAAAATTACTTAGGGATATTTTACATTAATGAGACTTGAACTGGTTTGTAGACTTTCAAGATGTGATAATAGTGTAGGAGTACAACAGTGATTCTTAGAACTTAGATACTTGAGTAGACAGATCAGAATGTAAGACAGCCTTCCTTGAACCATTTATATTTGCATTTGCAGATAAAACAAGTAATTCATCACACACTCAACTTGCACTGATCAGGAGGCATTTTCCTGAAGCTGGAGCTCAGGTGTCGGACTCTTATTCACACTTCATTTTCTTGATAACTGCACTGCTATCTGGACAAAGAGCTACAAAATGGGTTTAAAAGCTACCTTTTAAAAATGAACACTAAATGCAACTTGTTAACATTAACGTGAAATACTGAATTTTATTTGTGGTAAGTGTGGATGGTTATCCTTTCACTGTTCCTTTCACTGTCCTATGATGAAAAAAGATTTCTCTGGATTCACGTTTCCTAGTGAAATAAATTTTAAGTGAAAAAGATTAGGTGTCACATTTCAAATTCTGCCTTAAAGTACAGCTGAAAATGAGTTCAGTAATCTCGTCCAAGTCCCAAATACACAGACGTTTGTCCAAATCACACATATTCTCTCTCTCTCTCTCTCACACACACACACACACACACACACACACACACCCTCTCTCACACACGCATACCAACCCCACACTAGACAACTTGGCATGCCTGACAGTCTCTACTCAAATAAGGCCCATGACTGGAAAAGCAAACTGTGAAGAATTACAAAGGGGTCTCACAAAACTGGGTGACTGGATAAGAAAATGGCAGATTAAATTCAATGTTGATAAATGCAAAGTAATGTACATTGGAAAACACAATCCCAATGACACACACAAAATGATGGGGTCTAAATTAGCTGTTACCATTCAACAAAGATCTTGGAGTCATTGTGGATAGTTTTCTGAAAACACCTGCTCAATGTGCAGCAGCATCCAAAAAGCTAACAATGTTAGGAACCATCAGGAAAGAGATAGATAATAAGACAGAAAATATCATAATGCCACTACATACATTCATGGTACATGCACACCTTGAATACTGCTTGCAGTTCTGGTTGCCCCATCTCAAAAAAGATAAATTTTAAGAGCCCAGCCACCTATTTCAACTTACTACAATATTGCCCACCATTGCTGGAACTATGAAATGTAAGCAGTTGAGAGAAACATCCACTGCAAGAGAAGCAACCAGTGAGATACTTCGTAAGGTGGCTTTGATTTTCTTGTTTTTGCATGATAAATATGGATTATAAAATATAATCACAGTTTTACTAAAATATATTCTACCTCTATTTTCTACATGAAGTTTGCGATCCTCCATAGCAACTGATTGTGAGATATTACCAACCAACTACATCCTTCATCAAGAGAAGAATGGTTCTGGAAAAGTACCCAGAAGCTACAGATATTCAAAGGGGCACAAAGGAGGCTTCAAAACAAAATCTTAAACTAGCTTCCAGCCTTTTTCCAGTAGGTTTGAGAAAGGAAGTTACCTAGAGATATAGCTGTATCTTTAAACAAAAGAAGTCACACTGCTCCCACTTTGGGAAGAAAGATGAAGTCTGACATTCTTCTGAAGTGTGTAAAAGTTCTGGATCGCGGTCACTTCTGGGATTCAAGGACTACACACTCACCGATTCTGGGGAGGGTCAAATGCAGGAGGATACATAGCTCCTACTTAGAAGATACTGGGAAATGTTTTCTCTTAATTTTGCCTTATTTGTCTAGATTTGTTCTTCTGGGTTTTTTGAGAGGTTGAATTACCCCGGGCTCTCAGTTCTCTTTTAGTGTGGTGTAAAATGGACACTTTTCTTTGGAACTCTCTTGATTTCTCTCTCTTCTGAAACTGGCTGGTTCTGAAAGTTCCCCTACTTCTGTGAATGAGGAAGAACTGGGGGATGAGGACTGTTTCAGGGCTTCTGGATTTTTTCCAATCTGGTTTTGTCCTGCTGCTTGGACTATTTTACATCCATCTGCCCCCAGTCTCACTGGGAGAAAGAAGCGTGTCTCCATGGTCTTGGTCTTTTCTCTTCAGCACTAGAGCAGTGACAGGATCTACACCTCTGTCTGATGAAGAATGCTTTCTTTCTCCCTTCTTGAGAAAGGGAAACAGAGTCATCAGGGATTACCTCACTTTTTCTGGCACAAGTAGAATCAAAAGATGTGTGTACACTTCGAGCTCCAGGGTCAGATTCCCATCTTGAGCGGACATACCCACACCAGCTCTGATCGAGCTAGCATGCTAAAAATAGAGGATAGCCACAGTGGTGCAAGGGGCTAGCTACCCCGAGTACGTACCATCCAAGATGTTAGGCAGGTACTCAGGGCTGCTAACCCCTCATACTGCCATACATGCACTCTATTTTTAGCACACTAGCATGATCAGAGCTTGTGTGGATATGTCCCTTGAGCTGTCCCAGGTCGAAGCGTAGACATATGCAAAGTCACTTAGCACCACTCTGGCTGAATTTATCCTTGTTCTTAAAGCCTGAAGTAAGAACCAGGGATAGGTGGCAGTATTAGGGGGATGGGAAGAGAGAGAGCAAGCACTGTTTTGTCCATTCAGATGGAAGCTCTTGAGCACTGTCCGGGAGCACCCTCAGGAGAAGAGTGGTGCACCTTAAGGAGAGGAGTATCAGGGCTAGCCGTGTCAGTCTGTATCCACAAAAACAACGAGGAGTCCGGTGGCACCTTAAAGACTAAGATTTATTTGGGCATACGCCTCCGTGGGTAAAAAACCCACTTCTTCAGATGCATTGAGTGAACATTACAGATGCAGGCATTATTACAATGACACATGAAGAAAAGGGAGTTACCTTACAAGTGGAGAACCACTTGGAGAACCAGTCATGTGTCAGTGGGGTTTTTTACCTACGAAAGCTTATGTCCAAATAAATCTGTTAGTCTTTAAGGTGCCAGCGGACTCCTCATTGTTCTTAAGGAGAGGAACACTTTAAAGGGGAAACTTATCTTTTGGGCCCAGAATCACCAATGATAAACACTATATGTCCTATATCAGCTAAGGCTCTTAAAAGTTAAGGAAGGAACTGTAGACTGGGGTGAGGTAGCTCCACAGAGATGAAGGCTGTCTAGTTTCCTATGTGTACAGCAAGCTGAGTACTCCAGTGGGAACATCTCCCTGCTACTGACCTAGCCTGGCAGAAAGGAAAAGGAGGCAGAGTTCTGACTAATTCCTGAGGTGGATAGCTCAATTTTCCCTAGACAGAGACAGGCTATGATGGAGACTGTTCCCTTACCACTGCTCTCAAGCTGGGCACTGCTGTAGCAGAGATGGGAGCCAGCTTCATAATCAGCTGGTGAAGAAATGACCCACTCAACTTGCACTGATCAGGAGACATTTTCCAAGAGCTGGAGCAAAACAGGGAGCTCCTTCCAGCTAGGTCTCCCTTAGATGTGGAGAGGGAAAGTGTGCTGTGCACCTTTGTGTCTTTTGTTTACTCTTCTTAGGCCAGTTAGGCCTCTCACCTGACACTACTGAAGGAAAAAGTCTGCTGCTTAAGCACCTCAGATGGAGGACGTTGCTCCTGAATAATCTGGTTAAACAGATGAAGAACTGAGTCAGAGATTAACATTTTGTTAAAATAACTGTTAGATGCCTCTAACTCAAAAAACTCAGTCTGGACCCAGAGCTTTCTTAGAAGCAGTAAATCTTATTCCTGAAGTAGTTTAAATCTTTTTTGGAAGGGGAGGGGGGGTTGTCTAAGACCCCAAATACTATTCTGTGATTTTTCCTGCATCTCTCAAACAATTCCAATTCTGATCTCATACCATTTTTACAATGGTGTAAGTCCACTGCTGCCTTCAATAGAGTTCTATATTAGTGTTAGGAAGAGAAGAATCAGCACTTTTAAATCTAGAAAATAATACATTTTTCAACCAGGTATTTTATCACAGGGTTTGTGGCCCTCTTGTGGCATTAAGTATAGCTTTTCAGTCTATTAATATCTTTACTAATCTATTTTTGT